CATTTTAAAAAAGTAAATCAGAGCTAAAAAAGTGCAAAAACGCAGGCAAATTTGCCTGTGTTGGTCTATATATTAAGAAATAGTTTTAATTTAATTGAATGTAAGGGTTTATATAAGGGAAATCGGGGTATTATAACGAATTCAGAATTGTGACGAATTAATAAATATGCAAGCAACGAACTGAAAAAAACTAATCATTATCATGAGTAACTACGAACTATAATACAAAAATAAAAGTAATTAATTTATTTTATTTATTTTTAGAGTAATTTATATCAATTCGACTAAACTTGGGCTGATCTAAGGATTGAGAACGAATGTGTCAAATATGATGAACCTGCACACATAAAAAACAAATAATATCAAAAAATTTTTGTGCAACACAAACAGCACATAAAATAAAAAAATTTGGCATGTTATTTAATTTTGATCATGTTTAATTCGTTTTACTATGTTTTACCACGTTTTATTTCATCACTTTATTATTTATCATTTTATCTTTGTTCTCGTTAATAAATTTATATTTATTAGTTGTTATATAAAAATACCTTAAGTTTTATATATTAACAAACAAAATACTATTCGTGTGGCCCTTGATAAGTTAAATAATTATCCTGTTGGTTCGAAATGACCAAGCCTAAATAGTGTAGCAAACGAATTTGGGCTTGCCGAAGCTATGCTTTGACGAGCCGCAAAAAATGGTGGCCCTTTTGGTTGTCCTGGACTATCAACTATTCTTACAAAACAAGAAGAGGATCAGCTTGCCGGCTACTGTATTAATATGCAAAAGCTTAAATTTGGTCTGACAAGAAAAGATGTCAATCATTGCGTATTAGAGATTATGCGACTAAGCAAGTGAAAACACCCATTTGGGGACAAAGGGCCTAGCTATGACTGGTGGAAATGCTTCATGAGAGACCACGCTGAACTATCAATTCGTACTCTCTAAGAATTAACAAAGACACGTGCCCAACAGGCAAATGCAACAATAATTAATAATCACTTCGAAAAACTTCAAAAAATTGTTCATGAGAATTCCCTTACTGCTGCACAAATTTGGAACATGGATGAAACTGGGTTTGTCCTTGTTCCCAAATCTGGAAAAGTCATAGCTCGAAAAGGTG